CACGTCATTGATGATGAAATAGTCTCGAAGGTCGTCGTAGATATTTGATAGCACTCGTTCTTGTTAAATCGAATTTCTCAAAGGTGCATTCTCGAGGAACGTCAAGTTAAACGAAAGAGGCGAGGGTGACGCGTTCGTGAGAGGGGAGGAGTAATAAACTGTTAGATGAAGTGGGGTTATTAAACGAGTGGAATAATAAACTGCCGAAGTAGGGAAGTGTTAAACAGGGGGAATGAGAAAATACTTGACTGGCGGGAATTACGAAAAGCTGAACGACGTGAAATACTCGAGTAATAAAATGACAGAGGGAACCAGCGAATATTAGGTAGAGTAAATAACGGAGTTTGAGGGGGATTAATGGAGGCATCGGGCTTCAGGAAACGAGAAAATATTATGCGAAGGGTGTGACAGAATATTAAGTGCGTGGCTTAAGAACATTCAGGGTAATACGTACACATTAATGGACTGAATCGTTAAGAAACGATAACGTGAAATATACGCTGCAGGCTTTCCAATTCATTTTTATATGAAACGGTACATTATTGAAAATTCATGTTAAATCAAATGAGTATTATCGCGTATATTTTTTAATAACAGCGAACTTATTTAAAATAGATTATAGACACGGGATAGCTTGTGAGTACGTGCACATGATCATTGCATAATATTAAATAAATCCAATCGGAGAGTATAAAATAGCGTAACGAGTAACGGAGGAAGTATTAGACTGAGTGTTAAGTATTATATCAAGGTATTATCGAAAACGGCCAGGGAGGATTACTATCGATCGAAGGTTAAATTTAATAGCGGCAATCGCACCGTGGCTCGATTCGATCTTTTCTTTTTTTTTATTAATTCTATCGGGACGTTCTTGTCCAGTTTGACATGTCCAATCAACGGCTTCCGATTACGATCGATTCTATTAAAACGGTATTGGAAAAAACGCCCGATGGAGAAGGATCGTATCGGATCCGATATAAGCAGACACCATCTAAATTCTTTGTGACCTATTTTTAACATGAACCGATTTTTTCGTAACGAGGGTCTAGTTTTTGCCTCGACACGCTTCCGTTGGTACTTTAGTATCGGACTTCCAGAAGGTGGCAACCGTGGAGGCACTGCTAATCATCTAATTTATATAAAAAAATTGTCTGCGTGTATCCTAGAAATGCAAGTATTGAAAGCTCGACGAATTCGTAAATCACTCGGAAATAATAACTTTCTCGAAGTACGCGAAATACAAAACAGCAGACAAACGTAAACCGTAGGATTTATCGAAGTCCCTCTAACTTCGTTTAAGTCTACGCGATTCATCAAACGGACAGCTAAACATAAATTGGCGACTTGCACGAAATTTTCTTACCCAAATCTTCCAAGCGATTCATCAAGCATACACTTAAACTTAAATTGTCCGAGGAGCGTCGCGAATAGAACGAAATTTTCACTTACTCGACACGAGATCCTGGTGCGCCGATTAAATCGTTGGAATTGAATTTATCGCTGGATATTACTTCCAATTTGCAATTTAATTACTCACAGATCGACGGCGCGAAAGTGAATGCCGCGAGTTATTTTCTTAGCGGTATCGGATTGGGAAACACAGACGTCGCGGCACAATAAATTTCCCGATGCGTTACGAACGTCTCCTACCGTATCGAGCAAAAATCCGAACAGAATACTGTCGAGCCGCCGTGATTTATGCCAGGCTAAGTAATTGCGATGCCTGTTCGAGTATGACCGTTGCCTTAACAGAATTCTAATTTGTCCGAGTAATAAACAGCCGGCGAGACGGCAATTTATTTTACACCATTCACTTCCGCGCGAGCGAAATGCCTAATACTTGGGCCAGTCTGGCCGTCGTTTTTCTGACCAAGCACAATTCTGAATGAACACGATATTAGTCATTTTCGACGCGTGATACTACATTCGTAACCTCGAACTTCTGTCTTCATGCGATAGACAAAGCCGCGATGAGCCCTCAGGGGCTGTAGCATGCGAATATGCAGCTACAGTACGGGCTTAGCGACCCCGGGGTACCCTAGCTAAGTAGACAGACGTGTACAAAAAAACAAGACTAACTTTAATGTAACGTACAGAGTTACGATAACGCGAACTAGGCCAAAAGTAAGGAGTTACGTAAGGCAAAAGAAAAGGTAAAACGTGTCGCTGTCGCGAGAGCAATTTCGTGGATCGTTAGGGGAAGGTCGAGGTCGCCGACATTTGGCGAGGATCGATGCGACGCCAACGCTCCGATTGATCGCGGTAAATTGCTCGATTGTAATCGCGATTAATTACACGCACCGATAAGGAGACCTCGCGAGCCATCGGAACACCTGCGAACGCGATCGATCGGCTGCATACGTCGACGCACACGTGCTCCATATTGCGCCCCCTTTGCCTTGTACCAATTTCCATTTACAGGAATATCAGGCATACCGGACGGAACTCAATTTCGTCCGCCGCAACTCAGACGCAATGAGTTCATTACCGACGCTCAGGCTCCTTGGGGGCTCGGGCATTAACCCCAGGGGTTAATTACCGACTCTGGGAGACCCACTTTGCTCGTGCATGCCACTTTGCTGGCTTTGCGCTTTCCTGGTCCATTGAATCGCGACGCGTTTATTTCGTGGCTGCCGCTCTTTGGCGACGCGGTCAAGGAAATTTCGAGGGTGTTTTCACTGAAGTCAGGGAGCGTTAAAACGATGATTTTGGGGAATTCAATGTACAAGGAATATTGAAATTCTCTATACAGTGTTCTCTTGGATGTAGGAGTAATATTATTATAAAATCAGAGAAAAATAATATTCCCCTTGCAACATACGAATTTATGCATCTGGAATTTGTGTATTATTTATAAAGAATTCTAGGAGCCAAAGAAACGATCGATCTCGTAGATACATATTGCAATTTAAATTTACATACGTATACATCTGCTATTTTATTATTCCATATGTACAGGGTACAGCATTTATATAGAGCGAATGTAGAAAGCTTAATTAAATCGATACATGTTTTTATCGAATCACGAATCAGCAGTTGAAGGATTACAAATTCTACGACTCGCTGTACCTATTTGCATCAGCCCGTTTCCTTTACCCCATCGATTAATATTGCGTACGACACCGAACCGATAGAGACACTCGGTATCAACGTTATCTCCGTCGATCTAACCGTATCGAGCCAGCATCGATACCCATTTATCGGGGCTTCAATTGAATTCCACTAGCTCGTATCTCTGCCAAGGAGACAGCCGAGATTTTAATCCCGAGGGCGTTCGATAATCGATCGAGATTCGATTGTAGCGGGTAAACGGGCTGGCAAAGTGACGCGCAACGAGCACGCCGCGGTAATTACGTCCCGGGTGGCGAACATTAATTAAACGCGACGAAATAATTAATCTCAGGCACTTAGATCATCCTCGAGAATCCTCTGCGGCGCTGCGTCTCGAATCGCGACGAATGCACAAAGTGGTCGCGCGTGAGCAGTCGCTGACTCAAAGGCGCAGCGATTAAGTTCAAGAATTTCGAGTCGTGACTGCGATATAATTGCACGCTATAAATTACGCGCATTTTTGTGTATCGCGGCGCAGTAACTTCGTTGGAACTTCGCGTTGACTCCGTTTCAACTTCGTGATAAATTCACGGTGACTTGATGTTAGAATAGTTATGATTCAACTTTGTTAATTTGTGAAAATAGGAGAACTCGGGAATTTCCGCGCTCTTTCGTAAAGAAGATGGCACTCTTGTCGAGGCGTAACCTCGTCGAGCAGATCGATTTATCGAATTTATCGCCGACTCTATCCCGTCCTGGCGATCGCGCGGTGTAATCGCTATATATAGAAATCGCGAAGACACCTGCTGGCTTCTTCGTAATTTCTTGGCCGATTCCCCCTGCTCGGTTTAATCGCCGCGCGCAGCGTGACGGCTCGCGTAACGATCTCAGGGGTGGAGGGACACGGCTGTCAGCTCGATTATCGAAAATCACCTGGGACGACCCCACGGCCCAGCCAGTAGTCGTTCCTCCATCGGTGATAATGACGCCGCGGTATGCGACTTCGCGGCTACCATTTTTATCCCGAACGAACGCGGATTTAATTGTGACTCACCGCAGACTGGATCGTTGAAGCGAAGGATCGTCGGATTTTTGCACGATTTTCCCGATTTTCGCGCTTCTATATTGCTTCTGCCTCTTCGAGAGCGCTCGACGCTGAAGAGCGTTCTACTAGGGGTCGTTTAACGGTAAACGTTAATCGAGTTTCTTCTTTGGAAATTTAAAGGCTAAGTGTGATGGAAGCGCGAGGGATGATTTGTTCGGAGGATATTCATCTTCTTATTAAATGGAATGTTAAATCTCGGAATTTTTATAAAGGGTTTTGCACACACGTTTATTCATATTTTAAGAACATGCACAATTCGTTTCCAGATAAAAATAATCAAAATTAATACTCTTTTAGCATTCGAACAGTCGTCAGTAAATGACAGCAATGGCGCGATAAGAATTTTTTCAATTATTCCCGCGGGACATTTCCCCTAAAGCAGAAACAATTGCACCGTGGAATTTGCGAAAGGTCCTGCAAGCGGCAAACAAAAATCGTGCGGCACCCCCGGTCGACCCGGAACCCGGCGTCCCGACGGCCTTTGATCGCGAGACGCGTAATAACGCGTGACAGAGCGCCGCGGCGTTCATTAAGCGACGCTCTCGAGCTCGACGTGTTTGCCGAAAGCGAAGTGAATTCGTACGCGGGGGTGATCCCCGAACAGTCTTACCAAATGGTCGCCTGCGCCCGGGGATTGGGACCAATTTGAATTTCAAATCTCGTCTCCATTAAGGGGTCTTTAAATGTTCAAAAATAAGGCAGTTTTATGTTTGGGGGTTTGTCGAAGTTCCTGATGGGAAAATCAGGCTTGCAAATTGAAGATTTGAGGTGTTGGGTGTGGTAAACAAATTATTAAAAGGTCTAGTCGTAGTTGGGATAACACAGACGTTTTACTCTTTGGGGTGTATATTCGTGAATTTAACATTGTTCCCTACAAATTTCGACATTTTCGTCGTTCGAAAATGGTAGGAATTCCTTTTGGATAGCAAACGAGTTCGAGGGAGGAAACCGTTTTCGTTCGCCGTGCTCGTCCCTCGATTATCGCCAGCCGAAGGAGCAGGGAGGCGCTCGTCGAAGGATGAAATGATGGCCGTACTGCGGAGTCATCGGTTTTAATTGCAATTTAAATATTGAATTATGATACCGTGTACCGAGAGACTCTCGCGGCGCTTCGGTTGCTTTTAAACCGTGGTGCTTGCAAATTGTTGATGGATCCCGCGAGCCGCGATGTTATTAATTACTCGTTGTTCGATGACTGTTAGCCTGTTGGTGAAAGTCGTGACGTCCCGTCAGCCAGAGGTAAATTAATAAAGTGACGCCGCGATTAATATGGTAATACGGAAGGTGGACGCGAGTCGCGCTACAAGTCATTTTATTCACCTATAAGAGACGAATCAAATCGAATGAGTATACGTTTACGTCGACTATCGCGTTATGGAAACGTAGGTGTCGAGATTTTTTTTAATCAAGAATTCCTGTGCTTGGAATAGAAGAGTTCTATCGCAACAATTTTCAATTATTTATGATCGCATTTAAACATTTCTTGGAACAAGCTGTTCCAAAGTGTCCATACAACAGTACAAACAGAATTTTTATAATAAGACTAGCAGATATTTCTGCTGGGCATAAAACGAATACATAAACCAATTGCCTGTAACAGTGTACCGTTGCGAAGTGCTATCTCTTCCAATCCAAATCGTCCTCGATTCCGAATGAATCACAAGACTCTTGCCGAGTTTGTACACACTGCGCGCATCTCATTCGATCGTCATGAATATTCACAGCCGGTTTCTACGTACGAGTCAATAAGCATCAAAACGGCCGCGAACGTCTCATAAATTCATCGAGTGAAATCATAAGGAGTGTTTGCGATTCTACTTCCTGTCGACTCTAATACCATCCACGCAATCTTCTACGAAAGAAACACAGGTACACACTCTTGTAAACAAATCCGCGAGCAGAATTTCGTCCGACGAACGATGATTAATGGCTGTTATTTGCATACATCTTTTTAAGCGTCGCGTACACGCTGTTCGTCTTCGTGGGTGAGGTCACCCACTCCTCGAAGGAACCGTGCTGGAAGGATCATGATCAGGATTGTTTAGAAGCGATTGGGCTGATTCATCGCTTGATTTTTCGATGACGGTACCTAGGTGAGAATCGAAAGTCAATGGTCGGGTTTATTTATATTTATTTATTGTTCGGACTGCTTTGCTATAGCATAGGAGACAAGACAGAGGTGATAACGTTGATGTAGAATTTTTATTCGAGTCAAAGAGTGGCACATATTACCATAATTCTATTCTAAAAACACTATAATTATAGTAATATTTGACGTTAGTACATTTCCTTGCGAGGCATGAGAAACGGCCAAGGTTTGAAAACGAATTATTATTTATAGGATTTCGCTATAAAGTGTATTCGTTGTAAAGATTCTGTTGTCCTTTAAGGATGCCGCGCGCAAGATGAAAAATCATTTAAAGGTCGGTGGTGGACGGATGAGATCCACCTGGGGAAAAACGTTGTTAGATCAACGATATATTGGCGATCGCGTACCGATAAGCTGGCGCATTTGTGCGATCGGCGACGTGTATCGCGACGATAGTCGAAGCACATTAATAATCGGACATAAATCATGCCTCCCCTTCTATTCTCGGATCGCAAGCTTTGCTGGAGACCCAGCGCTCTTTTCTTGGATGCTGTAATTTAACGTCCTCGTTAACCCCTTATAGCCTCGACGCGTTACACGGTGTATTCCAGTTAACCTAAACATCTCGAAACATTCATTCGATCATTCAACGTTGCCATCTACGTTGTTTATTACAATAACATCAACCAACGAGCGTTCTATCTGTGCAACAGATAATTCAAATGAACCGCGTTTCGCTTTTCTCCCGACATTTATTTCCTCAAACGCGAGGCTAATTTCGCAAAATTATGACGCTTACGTCTTTCTTAATGACTGGACTTCAATTACGGTCCGACATTAGACTCCTTAATTACGCTCGGCGCTGGAAGGTCGTCCGAATCGCGAAAGTTAACGATACCTTTTTCTCCCGTCCGTGAGCGTGGAAGATCGAGAGGCCTTAAAAACGGAGTGCTCGTATAATCGTCCGTCTTTATGACGTAGTAAAACAAAACAATGAAACAAAGCGTGGATAATGACGGGACCGAATGACGAATGCCGTGACGCGTTCGTGGCGTATTTCAAAATACGACGATTCGTGTTCCAAGTTCAGAACTTATATAGAACTGTTTCATTTTACTTTCGTATTTACCTTCACTTTGATAAAACAAATAAATCTTCGTTTCTCCTTGTTTCAATTAACTTCAGAAACAAGAACTACTAAACCAAAGAATGTGTAAATAATAAAATGTAGATATAACGGTATAAAACACTATGAGGTAAAATGTTTTAGGTTCATTGGACTTCTTCGGTAGCGAAGTTCCAGTTTGTGGATTCCGAAGAAGTCTTCTCTTCATTTTGTCTTCAATTTGCCTCGTCGAGGAAGGCCTCGTCGACTTTGGGAACCTTCATTCCTGCTACAATGTGAGCATAATAATCGTCGTTTAGCGGCAAACTAGGTGTGGGGAACAATCTAATTGCGCGGATACGTTTAGATGCGGCAGCCGTCACCAGGAAACCATAAGGACGTGCTACATCGTGGAATCGTTGTCAAGAGAACCACTTCGAACGTAAGAATCTTCAATTTGATTTCACAAAAATTGAGACATTTCACAAAAATCAACCTACTCATGTATATCAAAACACACAAGTAGCTAGTCCCGATCCACAACCTCAAGGGTAGATTCCACCCTCTCAACAGAAACATTCAACAACCAAAACGAAACTCTCGTGCATATTTTTTAGTTTCCTCCAACTGTGTACAAAAATTTCGCGAAAGTGTTCGCGCTGCATTTGAGAAATGTTGCTCGTTAGCCGCGATATTATTGGCGAGCCTCGTCGCGGACGATCCAATTTCAAGCGCGTGCTGAAAATCGCGATAATTCAAAGCACGTACACGTAGCGATATGAAGGTCCCCGAGTCTTTTAGGCGAGCGCGCCACGTATTTCGTGCGGGACGTGGCAATTTTTAAATTTCACGTCGACATTACGATCATTTACATTTAGATTAATCTGTCGCGTCTGCCGCGAGTACGTACGCGTACGCGCGCAGCCACTATACCGTTTGCTTATTATTGATTATTCAAATACGTGAATATTCAAACGGGACGCCCGTTATCCGACAGAGCAGTGCTACTTACTCGTACACGCTTAAGTATCAACCGCGTACGCCTCGAAACATGATCCATTCGAACCTCCCAATCCGCCATTTGCATTTATATTAGTCATTAAACGAACGATATTGTAGCGGCATTAAGGGTTGCTCGGAATCACGGCATTACTCAAACGTCGGTCCCCGTGTCATGGACAACGGAGTTCATCAATATTGCATGAACGAAAACGATTAAGTCTGAAGAATCGTCGACCGGTTTTCGGTGATAAATCGACGCGAAAACATTTCCTCCCCTTGGCTCCCCTTGATTCTCACCCACCCACCCCCCGGGCGTCTAGCATTTGCATTTCATAGCTATTTGGGGTCGAGGTACAACTATTGTCCTAGGTCGTTCTAGTCTTTTTCGCGTAGACCGATGCGTTGATCTATTGACCTTTTGAAAGGGTTATAGTAGCGTTCCAGGTGAATTTAATGGGACACGTGGAGTTGTGTAGAATTCTATAATTTTATAAGCAATCTGTATTCATCCGTAGCTCGAGAAAATAGCGAGGAATTCTCCAGACTTAAATGTATTCTTTGCTTTTTATTGCTACCTTTTCGGCAAATTGAAAGTACCATGGCTGCTCGAGTACGAATGTAGAAAGTACGGTTCGCGTAGAAGCGAAGTGGCGTCAGCGTTTTGCTTGTTTCCGGTGGCGATGTTTTATCTTCGAACGAATCTACCTTAATTGGGGGACTTAAGTAATGATGTAACGGTACCCCGAGCTGCCGGAAGGTGACGCTGTGTCTTCGATCCCACGGGCATTTGCATCTGTTTTCTGGCGGAACGACGTGTCAAGTTCACGGAGATTATGTTGATTGAAATTCTTCTTTCCTTCACTTATGGTAGAAGGTCGACGATACTTTGTATCGAAGAGATCGCAGCACTCTGAAACGTATGACGCCAGTTAAAATTAAAGTATAGTAAGAAAATGGCAAGGAAAAATGATAACGGTTTAATTGTCCAGTGAACGTGCGTGCAAAAGTACTAGCACTTAGAGGAAATTCTCAAGATGACGTTTAAGATAAGTAGAATTGAAACCAACGAGCTATACCGGGTTATACTTTTATCTGCTTAACCCATTAAATCCAACGAAGGTTGAGCAAGAGTCAAAGATGAAGGCTTCCAAGTAGCGTTCGTAATTAGGGTTGAAATCCTTCCTTTAATTACTTTTTCCACATTATTATTGTATCGTGAACTACAAGAGTCGTCGGCGTGCGACGTCCTTGAGCAACAAACGTAAATATTCGAACGTCGCTCATCCCCGTATAACGCGAGTTCTAAAACAGTTGTAAATCCATTCGCACAGTAATCAAGACAAAATTCACGAGACACTCCCGAACGAGTGAAAAGAATTCTAGTAAGGATCTATCGTGGAATTAACGTTCCCACGATGACCTAGGCGATCCGGGATACACGAAGAATCCCGGATATGGAGGGGCATAAAGTCCAGGGGGGGAGGCAGTTATTAGTAGCTAAAAAGTATTCGAGACAATGAGCTTCGGCTCCGTTACGCCATTCGTTCCATCGGAGATAAAACGCTTATGATAGGGGCAATTAAGCGAGAACCAGTAGCGTATTATTCGTTGGGTAAGAGGGACTGGTATTTATATTTGAGTTTCTTTAGTTGGGAAAGTTGGTATGAGGAGATATTGATACAGATACAAGGTAGTATAAAGAGTTAGAGAGCTAGTCGAAAGAAAATTCTCAGAGTAATTTTAATCCCTAATGTCTATTGTACGAGTTTCTTTTTTTTTAACGGAGTTCCTACATTCTTCTGTGTTTCGCGGTTCTGCGATGGTGTGACGTTCCCCTGGCGCCAGTGGTTAAAAATGTAGTAGATGTTTAAAACGTCGGCCACGCGAATCGCCCGATAGAGATTATTAACGCTCGAACACGTTCGGCGGCCGATAAGACAATAAGATTTCATACGTGGGACGATAAAACCGCCGGAATGGCCGTTAATAAAAGTTCATAAAAGTCCGATTGATTTATGCAACGACGGTACTTCATTTACGACGGTTGTAAATATAGCGGGTCCGTGTGTGGTTGTAATTGTCCACGCTGGTAGAAAATCGGTAGAAGTAGGGGGAGGGAAAGAAAGGAATCGCGATGAATTACGGGATTCGACGGCATTAAATTTAGTGCTCTCGCTAATTAATTGTAACGGACAAACGAGCTAACGGTGTAGGAGACTGTCATGTAGAAATTCTCAAATTCTTTGATTAAAAGGATGATTGCTTATGGATTAAATGAAAAGAAAAATTATAGGAAATTTAGAAAAATGAGACTCGTGTATAATTTGCAATGGATATAATGCTCTACAAAGTAGGATGTCCCGAAGTATCAAGTTTAGGAACACAGAGTCTAAGATCCCCTCGTGCCCTAAAAACAGAGCAAGGCTGTGACTTCTTCGAGCACACAAACTTTCGTTGAACTCGTTAGGAAATGATTTCTGCGCGACTGTATCGATAGTCGGAACGTATCCCACGGTGAACCCCCTCGGTTGCCCCGAGTGCAGGGCCCTCGGGGCCCCGCTAAGGTCAAGCACACGCGCCTGGTCGGTCGACCTGCAATTTCGGTAATTTCGCGCCGCGAATCTTCGGTTATCGAACCCTCGAAGGGCGGCCCACGCGAAGCCTACGCGTTTAGGTGGCCCCTGGCCCTTCGCCCTCCACCCCCGCGATCTTCCAGACCGACTAGAGAGGAAGGGGGAGCCAGAGATCTGTTCTCGATACACCAGCCGAGCCTCGCGGGGCTAGGGTCATCGTGAAGTTCGACGGGAGGTCGACAAAGGGAGAAAAGAATGGCGGATACGTCGCGGAATTTATGGCAGTCGCAGCCATGATGGCCACCGGGACGCGCCGTACAACTGGCTGGGTTTATTCTAACCCTTGATTTTTTACGAGTGATCAGGCTTGTCTAACGTAACATGTTCGTTTCAAGTACGTGCTACGATACTGATATTAATATTTATTCATTTATTTGTGAGGTAAAATGGACGTTCCTAAAAATCCCCGCGTGCCCTAAGTTCCACTCGGTACTCGCGCTGGCTTCGATAATAAAAAAAAACGCCCGACACCGAGCAACATTCCATCGCCAAAGACGATTCAGTAGAGCAACGATAACATCCCGAAACGTACGTGCCACCGTGCACGGAAGAAGTTAATGACTATCGTTAAATGTAATGATCTCTGCCATCCCGCTGCGGCCTGAGTAAATAGTCGCACGGCGAGGGCACCGTTCTAGAGGGGAGGGGACGAGGTATAAGCCATATCGCGTGAACGGATCTGGGCGAAATTTATTTGAGACGATAATTTAAGAACAAGGGTCGCGGATAATACTAATGACCTCTTAGGCGAATAGTTTATCTCGCGCGAGTTTATTCGCCTGTTTCGCCCGAGGATTCGTACCAATTAGGTCGGATACTTACCGATGAAATTTACTCGATGTAACGCGGCGAGATATTAACGCTGAACGCGATGTAAATTAAATCGTTGAACGGTATCGTTCTCTGTTAGATCGTTGAAACAATTCGAAGGGAACGAGAAAGAATCGAGTAACTCGGTTTAACAAAATCATCTTTCGACTGAAATACGATTTAAGATAATCGCCTAATTCTATAGCGACAGACGGTAAAAAGCTTCCCGAGTGGCCAGACAAGAATGAAGCCCGAGGTTCAACGTTCGAACCAGACATAGGGGGTTCTCGTCGAGTGGATAATGAAATTTCGGTCTGAAAGTTATCCTCGAATGGTCGCGCGTGTAACGTGCTATTGAATTATGCTCGTGTGCCCAGAAGTCTTGGAGAACACGCGAAACGCTCTCGAAACGCCTCTGTGGTTAATAGATTTCGTTAACGGACGAGCCATTAAACATTAATGGCCGACGAGGTCCTGCTGAGAAGAAATAATATCCTTAGTCTTGTTCCGCGGTCGAAATGAAAGAGGACAGGGTGGATGGCCGGTCGGGGGTGGAGAAATTCGGTTGAAAACGATTCGGCGAAAGCTAGGGGTCAGCTTCCATTGCTGAAAGAAATTTATGGGAGGCAATGTTTCTCCCGAGGGATAGATTTTCCTTTTCTTCGTTTCTTTAATAATTGCAGAAAATGATTGCAATGAAATAAAAGAAATGCATTCGAAATTAATAAAACTACAGAATTACGTGAAAATTATTTTAACGTGTATCAATCTAATACGTTTCGGTGAAGTATATAATTACATTGTTTTAATAAAACGACTTATTTAATAAGTACGCGGAAAATTTTGTATGCGTTTAGAGCACTAAAGCGATTCCGAATCGTACGCAGCCACCTCGATCATACTTAGAACCTCGTCAGAATCGACCTTAACGGGAAGTTGCATCGCGTTATGCATCAGGCTGCTGCATAAACGATGCGCGGAGAAAATCGACCGTTTG